ACCGACCAATCACTGGTGGCCGGCGAGTTCACAAGATTTTGCTTACATTTTTATTATAACCACGCACTACATCAGTGTGATACAAATTCATACAGATTTAGTGGCAGTGCGCGACTACCTGTGGCCAGTGGTCCATTTGCGCAAGGCCTAAGGACTAACCCATAATTTATGATTCCTTACCAGATTCAAGATTCATGTTTAGTTGTAAAAATTCAGAATATATTAGCACACTGTAATTTGATAACATATCTTACAAGTAAATGATTAATTATACAAGGCTACTGTAAAATATATTTTAGATATAATTTATCTATCACCTTGTCAATTTCATATCGGTTGAGATTTTGTATTACTTAAATGGGATTATAACTATTTTATACGCTATCAGCTCCTAAATATAATTAAGTTGCGAGCCTATCACTTTTAGATACCTAATCATGGGTTTCCGAGACTAAAATCTACGTTTAAAACATACGATCACTGTTTGATCAAAGATGAAAAGATGACGATATGTTTTATACAGAGAATTTTGGATTCAGAAACCCACGATTGATAATATACGATATGAAAGTTCATAGCATGATTTAATCCCTCATTACGAACGACAGTCATAATTATTTGACTACTAGCTAGTCTACCAGTGTCACCTGCGACATCGTCCATGCGTATAAAAAAATTAATTACCTAGTACAAACTAGGTTCTAAATTAATGCTAAATTTGAGCGTGATCCATGCAGCCGTTCTGGAGATACCTTATAACATTCACCCATTCGCATTTATATAATAATATTAGTAAGATAGTCAAAATATTAATTACAGTAAAAATTTATCGTAATTAATAGAATTAATAAGAATTAAAGATTATAAAGAATCTAATATAACGATGACTTTCAATTTCAAATGACTCATTTTAATTCTTACTAAATTTAATTTTGATAAATAAATGTATATGGAAGTTATTAATGCGAATGTTTGGATGGATGGATGTTTGTGAGAAATTATCTCCAGAACAGTTGCATGGATCTTGCTGAAATTTGGCAATTGAACGCATAGGCTATTATTTTATGTTTAATTTCACGCGGACGGAATCTTGGGAAATAGCTAGTAGTTTAAATGGGGTTCTCATTAATTTTTATTCTTTAAATATTCCATGATTTGATTTAACCATAGACAATGCAAATGGCGACGGGTACGAATCAAAACAGGGGGTGAAACAATGCAGTGTTACGTCGTACGGTTCCCATCAATGCAAGTTCCCGCTCTTTATTATTCAAATAAACTTTATGAATGTAAAAACTGAACGATGATTATAATTAACTATTACATTAAAACAATCGTGAAGATTATAACGTTAGATTACAAAGGCCTGTGGAGCCAAAACATATCAAACGAATCTATTGTCGTCAACTGATTTAGTTTGAACGCTGAAAAGAAATTTTGAGAAAATATCTCTTCCCGGCGACTACGTTCGCTCGGAATTAAAAAAACTAAATTAGTAGCCTATGTGTTCTTCCAGACTACGTTCTATATCTGTACCTTATCAACGAGATGCTGCAGCCGATCTGGAGATACCTTCTAACAAACATGCATCTATATATCCAAACATTCGCATTTATAATGTTAGTAATCTCTATCTATCTTATATATATAAAAGAAAGTCGTGTTAGTTACACTATTTATAACTCAAGAACGGCTTTAGCGATGGCTGAATAATGGTGAGGAGGTAGCTTAGAGTCAGGAGACGGACATAGGATACTATTTATTCTTTTTTTTTGAATTTATGCCTTGAAGAGCTGTTTTTTATTTTACTTATCTATATATTAAGTTTTTTTTTACATCCACGCGGCGCGGGCGACAGCTAGTAAGTATTATATTATGCGATCTTATTTTCGCAAATGGTGTACGTCAATTATCTTTTTTCTTGATCTAACCTAATCTTCCTAAGTTTAATAATTATATGGGAAAATTTTGACAGACATGTTGCACGTAACTCCAGAATGGCTGATTTGAATGGGAACAAAGACTTAAAAAGCGCATGGAGTAACCAGTTTTGTTTTTTTAATTTCAGGCAACGGCTAATTGATGGCAAGTTAAAAGATATTTATACATAAGATATTGCTTTAGTTAAATATTATTATAACACTTTCCGTTTAGATTTACATTACAACGTAATTGTTTTTTCTACATTCATGTCTCATGAATAATATTTTGTGACAGACATGACATCGTTTATACACAAGGCGTAACAAAGGGCAAAGAGGACTTTAGAAAAAAATTGGATTTATTTTTTTCGTTGGGAACCTAACGTCTTATCTGACTAACAAGTTACGTGATAACTTAATGTAAGCGATAACATAGACTATGTAAATAATAAGATCATGTACACTTAGTTCTTAGAGGTTAGAATGTTTGATTATTAAGCCATGAGACAGAGGTTCAAATTTTATTAGCAAGTTTAACGCGTGTTTAATTAGTATGTAGTTTTGTTTGATACATGTTATAAAATCAAAACAAAAAATCAAATGCGTGATTAAAACGAATACCAAAATTGTATATCGTACGTGCTATTCGTTTGAATCGAGTTTTACTTTAGTACTCCACTGCTTTGATATTTGTAGTGACATATATTGTCATCCCTTACATTCCCTTTGATAAAACAGAGACAACATGTGTGTTGAATCTTGAATTTAACGAGTATCGCACATGTGCCAGCGTACAGTCAGCAAAGTGAAACGAAGCCCGTGTTTGTTGAATGTTACAATTCCGTTGGAAGTTTTGTTTGAGCTGTCGGTACAATGTAACATGAGATATGTAGATGTCCAATTACAATACAAGGTAGTACTTTTGATGATTTTGCGATTGCGAAAGTCTTGAATACGCAAAATCAGCATGTCACTTCATTGGAAACGTGTAACGTAATCCAATACTGTGTTGCAAATGTTTTTAAGACTTATTATTAAAATGTTTACGATTAACAGGTCTATAATGATTAATAAAGTCATAAAACACAATATAGTAAAGAAAATAAGGAATGTCGTGTTTTAAATGATAATTTCGATAGGATATTTTGAAAATCAGTAGGCACTAGAATGTTATTGACGAGCAGTCATTATCGGTCGTAAGGCGAACTAATTATCTAAAGCTATCAGAATAACTCACCTTCTTATCTTAAGTTGCCGTCGAGCACCGATAAAAGCCCCAGTCCCGAAAGCGTACAATATCACAGAACAAACACTTCGACAGTCTTTGGAGTACACAATCGATTTATGGCGATTTTTTTATTAGCAGAACGAGCAAGTAGCGTTTCAAAACATAAAACGCGTGATAAGCGTTTTGCTGGTATGTTTACAATTTTGCTGTACACGAGAGACGTCCGAACAACGCGGTGGACGACTTCAGAATGCGATTGTGCGACTGCGCGCGTGACTCCTTCATGTTGAGTTGCGCTCGAGTCGAATCGCCTTTACCATGGAACTATTTTTCATCATTCAACATGATTAATTAACAATTTTTATCAACTGACTGATTTATTTTTATGAATTTTGAACACTCTAATTTTGACTATACATGTAAACGAAAACAATTACGGATCAACATAAATTTAGTAGCGACTCTTTTATGTATATTCCAAGCAAAAAGTATCCTATTCCTAAAAATCAAGTTACTATTTAATTGTGATTATATTTGTCCTAAAAAATTTAAATATAAAATATTTTTTATGTGATTGACAATTTAACATTTTTTGAGTACTTTAGTCTTACTTATAATAACGTACTTATTACATATAATGCCTCATAGGCAAGTGATGAAATCAATAGAAAAAATAATTGACTAATTAGTGGTATCATCAGAGCCCGATTCCTAATTTGTTTGAACGATAAAGTAAATAATTGTGAAACAATAAAAATACAGATTAACTCAGTTTATACAGATTCATTAATTATTGTAAATAAATTGTGTTAAATAGGTTCGTACTAGCTTCAGCACGCGACTTCATCCGTGCAGAATTAAACAAAAACGCAGTCTAACCGTTATGGAGATACGTAATAGCAAATTTCCATCCATCAATCTATCAATACTTTCGCATTTATAATATTAATAAAACTAGCTTTTGCACACGACTTTATGCGCACGAATTAAACTAAAACTTAGTAAGCAGCCTATCTGTTGTTTCAGATAGTAATCCCTTCTCGCCGTTTTGGAGTTTGTTGCTAACTAAACATCCATCTTAACATTCCCATTTATAATATAAGTATGAAATAAGATTACTACAATAAGAATTAATTTGCACAAATTGATTTTTTTTTTCAAATATTTTTTTCATTTTTTTATTTGAACGTTAACATTTCATTCGTTAAATGCGCGTGAACATGCTTAGCAAAATTAATGTATTATTGAAAAGGCAACAAGAATTTTTATTTTATTTTAAGCAGTAATAATTTAAATAAATGCAGTTTAAAATTTTCGATAGCTTAGTTTTAGTTTCACGACGGGATACCATGGTAGGGGGCGCATTCGGTCAGGTCAAGTCGAAGGCATCAAGTGGCATGGGGTTGTATTACATGAACGTTTTTGTTGATGTCACACAAAAAAATATTGCTAGTAACCGGGGCAAGGGACAAAAAGGTCGTTTCCTTAATTTAAATGTCTGTTAACAATTCTTTTGTATCGTAAATATCTTTTATGTATGTATGTGACGTATAAGTAGATTCTTTTTGTTTTAGATAATTAGCATAATGAAATAATTCTAAGAAAGGAAACTCATCATGAATAAGTAAAGCCAAGCGTATGGTTTCACTTATCTTTCGACAAGACTATTAAATGCGACTCCTGTTCTTTCTTTGTTACGAATCTGTACAAATGAAATTTTGCTGCTACTATTTCCGCAGGCGTTCAATAACAATCACCTCGTCCGTACTTTCGCGGTTTTGACTTTGTTTTGTGTTTTGGGAAATCATTCTAGAATAAGCATGCTGTTACTATAAAAAATACGGGCTTACCAAATTCCAGTTTCTAAAATTAAGTCGATTGTTTCAGGGAGTTCCAATCGAAAACCTGAAAACAAAATACATGACTACATTAAAGAATTTAATTTATAAAATATGCCGTGTTGCTATTAAATGCTAAGTCAAAGAATAATATGAATATTATGTAACATATTTACTATTAAGGCTGTAATATATATGACTTTAAAAGCACGTGAAACAAATCTTACCATCAGAGATTATCCTTTGTATCACGCTGGCCATGTCCATTGCTTCACCGGCGTAGAAATTTTCTCCGGTGTACGGAGTTATACCTAAATCTGTGCGCTAGGCTTAGGAATATTATTGTTTATATTTAAAATCAATACTAAGTAAATGCTGTATGGTGACTTGAGCTTTATGGTGGCCCGTGGTTACTTTCTAACGCATACAGTTTTATAACAGAGATAAGCATACGAGAATTGGACATTGGCAAATTGCGCGGTGGGTGGTACCCTTTTCTAGAACCTCTATACTTCATCGAGAACCTAAATTTCTTTGTCATTGTTTTACGCAGTGTGGGACGAAATTCGGAGCCTCTATAAAGTTTGGATAGGAAGTTAGATTGTGTAAATCACCTCTGAACTGGTTCAAAAGTTCAGGTCATATGGACTTGAAGCATTGAGCTGCTCAACAACTAAATTAGCAGCTTACGACTCATCGCGATGTACAATCCTGTACGACAAGATGTGAGTTATATAGTGACTCGCAGTATGGAGCTCGAAACACAAATCATAAGTCAAACTACAAATTGAGTTGAGCTGTGAGCTGGTTTACTGATCTGCTTCAGAGTCGCAAGCTGATCTGCGGGTCATTAATTAGTTGTATTACCCATTATTAGTTGAAATGTTCAAAGGATACATTCGAGCATATCATGGAGTGTCGACGGGTGGTCGGGTGGTGGCGGGGGCGGGGGCGCTTGCGCTCGTGGCGCCACCGCTCGCAGCGTGTACGCCCGGACGTACTCCTTGCGTAAGTCATGGAAGCGCGCGTAGTATGTCGGCAGATTGATCTCTTTACTGCATGCTTCTGGGTGCAGGCATTGTCTGAAAATTAATACATTTTATAAATTTTATATCACATTGACTGACTCTAGTTACTGAGGAAACGAAGAATCAGATTATACATTAGGTCACTCACACACGAGTACAGAACTGTGACGTAGAAAAATAAGAACAGTACCATTATTTTTTTTAATCCATAGAAAGTCAAGGTTAAATGCGCGATGTATATATTTTTAGAGATAAATAAAATATATAATAATAAGTTGTGTTTCAAAGAATAAACCTTCAGACGATAAACATAATTTTCAGGGTTCAATAAAATGTCAAATTTAAATTGAATGGGTTGTCGAGAAAAAATATATTGCAAGTAACGAATAAAGATTTTGATCGGTATTATATTCAGCTATATATAAACATGTTGCGTTGTCCGGATAAAGCCGGACATAGGTAAGCTTTTTGATTGCGTGTCCGGCAAAAATAAATGGTCTCCGGGTGTCAAGCTATTATTAGGCTTTTTACATTTCGCAAATGTGAATAGCGAAGCACAGGCGATGACAGTCGACTGATGCATGTAGAGTGTCCGGCTTTTCTACCCAAACGTCCGGCTAATCTGGTCTGTCTGTTAGCTTCGGCGACCTGGCAACACTAGTTTCATGAAGGTTGTTTTTATTATTTCGGTTGTTTATATTAACACATCACTTCATTTGTATATTAAATAAGATCGTTTTTTTTCTGATATGACCTTCGTAATTTGCGAAGGTAATTTTGGAATTTTACACTTTTTATCCGCCAAGATTTTTCACGACCAAAACGTAAAAAATTATAATTGAGCAATAAATAATTCTTCCATGGATCCTCGATACAAGTAAATGTGTATTTTCACATCGTTCAAGATATGTAAGAACATTATCCCTGTTTTTTTAATAATGAGAGAGGGCACTGTTCAAAGGACAATGAAGTCTCGCCGTTAAAAAATTAAAGGTTTTTAAACTAGATGGCGTTAATTTTAATGTTACTCTTACGTATAAATTAATTAATCTTACTTCTTATTAATATTATAAAAGCAAATGTTTAGATGATAGATGTTTGTTTGGATCTCCAATTCGGCTGAACGGATCTGGATGAAATTTGGCATACATATACAGCATAGTCTGAAAGAACACATAGGCAACTAATAATGTTTTTTTTTATTGCAAGCGGACGGATCGCGGGTGACAGCTAGTATTGAAATAAACCTTTATAACCTTCAGCTTAACTTTTACAAATGAAAATTCATTGCCGTAAAAATATATACAGTCACATAAAAATTATAATTCATTAAAAGTGAAATTATTTTAATTCTTACATTGACGTGTAATTTACACTACGGAAGTTATTAATTTCTTTATCAATAAGCATATATGTATGTCTTAGATTCTCTAAAACATACAGAAAATAACCCGAGCTAACCTTGATTGTTAAACATTTCATTGTAAGTTAAACCGAATGGTGATTGGCTAGGGTGACCATGTTTTCAGATTTCAGGGATATTCCCAAAAAAACCTAAATTCACTTGCGTAAAATAACTGAAATATATTTAATATATAGATACGTAATAATTTCATTTTTTAAATATATTTTACGAACAATTACGTATATAATCTTCTAATTTATTAGAAATAAATACAATTTTTAACCAGTAAATCGTATATGAAACATACGAATGAAATAGCTAATACGTCTTTGTGCAGATTTATTTAATTAAAATTTGGACCAACACACAACTGTACAATAAAAATAATAATTTTATCAAACATTAATTAACCATCTAACCTAACCTAACAGCATTAACCTTAACCGCTGTGAAATGGCTTAGCTTTTAATATTCAGCGGATATCGATGGCAGTATAGTGTTTCCATTGTCTAACGACACGTATTAGAATAGTTAATGATGCCAGGGGACGAGACACATTTAAATTGCCCACTAGTTACTATAGTAAATTAAAATTCGTTTTTATTTATGCATTTAGTAAACGACAGTTATGTAAATAACCATATGAATTGGTATTGGTAGTAGTACATCTTCTACTTTATTGTAAGTTTTGTGTGTCGGAAGAAAAAAAAACAAAAAAGTATTTTTGTATTTTCACGGGATGACAAGTTAAATGTCATTTGTTTTGAATATTATTTCATTAAATGCATCTTGTTTTGTTTAAATTGCTTGGGAATTTAATATTAGATTTAATAGTGTGGTATTTCAAAAGTTTGGGTTAGTCACCCTTACGGCAGACTCCGAGTCCTTTAGTGGGGACTTATTCTGAGCTGAAGATTAAAAGGTAATTAGTCAATTGTGGGTTGAATGATTTAATCGATTTATATTGAAATACTATTTTTAAATTATTCTATTTTAAAGATAAAATTATCCGTGTTCGTTATGATAAAGAAAGTCACGATATACGCCATATTAAATATTTCAATACGATATTAAATAATGAATGGCGTCGAGAATGTTCTGATATGATTGTCAAGTCACGATTCGATAAATGTTATTGGACGTCTCAATTTTTATGCAACTACATTGTGTTGGCTGTTTTTATTTTGAAAAAAAAATATTATTCAGTTTTATTTCTTTTATGTAATACGGTGACAAGCGAGTAAGCGGCTACCTGAATTAACTAAAATAGCCAATGACTCATAGACATTTGCAAGTAAAAAGATTGCAGAGGCGTATCCTAATGGACAGGGGAGGGGACATTAAGAAGAAAATATATCTGCTTCCTATACATTCATGTCTCCGCCAGTACCATTCTTTTATTAGGATGGGGTGGGTACTTTAATTTGGCCACCAAACACTCATCAGACGAAATGCGGCATTACTTAAAAGGTCTTCTGAGTGATCGTGGTATATGGTGGCGACGGGGTTATTCGTGCACACTGCTGCGGACTCTACTACTGTTATAATTATATTTGACGTGACGTAAGAGAATGGATACTATGTAACACTGCCGTTGACATCGAATAGGGAGGATGTTAATTTAATTGACATTTTCGAGTTGTTTAAATTCGAACGAAAGCCGTTTGAATTAATCAATCTTAACGGATATACCAAATAATTTTAATTTCTCATACTTAATCAGCAGTTTTTAAGTGGTTTTTAAATTGTCACCATTATAAAGAATTTTGTATCAGTTGTTTGTTTGCTTGTTTTAAATAATTATTATACTTAAATAAGTTTTTCGCTAAGAGATATTATCAATTAATGCTCAAAAAACATGCATCTATAGCAGTTAATTGGCTGTTTTTTTAAATTATAATACATACATTTCCTTTTACCTTATCATTATTTTTTTTTAAGAAATTTGATATATTATAAATGTTATGTAGATAAAAAATCTACGGAAAATAAAATAACATCATTTATTTGTTTTTTTTTTAATAAGGAATATTAGCAGTTTTTTTGTAAATTTACTAATATTTATTTTACCATTCCAACTAAGGTCTATGCTTGTGCTAAGATATGGTTTACGACAATATTCGAATGGCGGGATACGAACCCCCGACCTCGTGATCGGAAATCCGTAGCCTTAACCATTAGGCTATTGATGCTTTATTCTATCCTTGATCTGATATAGTTAAACTCTAATTTTATTTAAGTTAAGTAAATAATAGCTGTTAATATACTATGGCATGCTACGCATGTCTATTTAAACGTTAGTTTTCACTGCCAAAAAATGTACAAAAATAAATTGTAACCTCAGTAATTGTTTAACTAAGAAAGAGAGAGGAGTTGGCTGTGAAAATCTACGGTCCAGCTATTTATAATAATAGCAAATATTAATCTATATTCTGTATTAAACCGTTAGTTATTTAACATATTAATGGCTATTTACCTCTATATGTAAAACATTGGTATCCAA